TTTGTGTTCCCTAGTAATTTCTGAGAATGTTTACACTGTGAAAATATGTTGATTGGAAGTTGCTGTATTTTGTATGATGTAAAGATTACAAATCTAAGCTTAGTTTTTGATTTTTGGGATATTTAAAAGCCATTGGTGCTATTATGCATAAAATAAAATACTTGTAAGGTAGGTTTGAGAAATTTAAAGGGCTGAAATTGTTTGTTGAATGAAAAGATGATGTTTTGGTTTCTATATTCAGCCTTCTATATATCACCAAGTACTTGTGTAGTGTGAATAAAGGTAAGCAAAAGATAGGTATTATCAGTATGACTGTAATGTCATCATATGATCTGTAGAGTTTGTTTAGGGTGGTTGTCTACAGGTCACTGATGTACATAGTTTCTTTCCAGTGGTCAGCTTTGTCTAAATTTTTAAGGCTGGTTTATCAGGGCATGTTAGTCTGGTTGCATTTTTATGTTGTTTTAATATTTGCCCTATGGTCCAACCAGTTTCTCCTATAGAAATGTACTTATGCAAACATTATATTTATGAGTTGTTTTTATTTGTACTTGTTGGTTGATTGGTTCACTTTAGTACAAACGTTTCAAAGACATTTTCTTGGTTTAAAATAAACTTTAACATTAAATTTCTGGCAAATCCTTTAAAGTTCTTCATTTAAATTGGGAATGTAGAGTAGAAAAATGATAGATTTGTGTCAGAATTGATCTTGTTGGGGAATCTTATTCTTCTTGGAGGTATATATAAAATTGGAACAGTATGCTATTTATTGTTTCTGAAAACTTTCTCTAGAAGGGTTAGTTCTTTTTAAACATGGTCTTCCTCACAAATATTTCTGTCTCTTTCAAACATGTTTGATATAATTCTGTGTTTAAAAGTTTTTAGTGGTTGGACCTCTAGTGTAGGTACCTGCTAGTGTGGGTTAGTTTCCTATAAACAGCAGTGGTGAGGTGGTCATTATGTTGATGAATGAGTATTTCAAGAAATATAGGGGTCTTAGTTTCTTCTAACTGCATGGTGAACTGTATTCTAGGGTTTAAACAATTTAAGAATGGAGGAAATCAATCCAGGTAATAACTCAGGAGATCAAATAACAAATATGTCAATAACAAATATCACTATAGCATTTCCAAATTTTAGGTTTCAAGATACTTATCTATTGGACTCTGGCTTTAAAATATTCCTTGAAAATAGCAATAGAGAAGATTACAAAGGAATGCCACTGGTTTGTTTATGGAACTCGTTTTGAAATTGAAAGTAGGTGGAGTTATTGCAGGAAGTCAGAAGTTCTAACAAACTGCCCACATTGGGATTAATGCAGAAATATTAATTTCTTGTGGACCAATGGAAGGACACAAATGACAGAAAAGCTGGGAAGCATATTAATGAACACCAAAACTGACTGAAACATCTGAGGGTTGAATCGAGAAGGTTTTAGAGATTTCTAAAAATGTTTCTACAGTCTTGATTATGGGTGGTGAATTAGCAGTTAAAGGAATCTGGCTGTGTTATGGCAAGGTGAATTTACAGCACTGGCAATGGATCTAAGAGGAATATCAAGTTTATATATCATGGGTAAACTGCATAGATGAGATGGTTTGCTGCCATTGTTTAGTAGTTTGACAGTTTTCAGGTTCCATTCTTTTGATAATTCTGTTAATTGCTTGTTCAGTTTGGTTAGTGGGATCTTTTTTTAATTCTTGTAGGGCCATGTCTGTAAAATAGATTTTAGTTTTTCTTCATAAGCTGTCTTGTCAAGTAGAATTTTACAGTTTCCTTTGTCTGTAGGTAGAATACAAATAGTGGGATTGTTTTGAATGTTAAGAAAGCTGCTTGTTCTTGATTTGTCAGATTTGAGATGGATGGTTTGTTGCCATGGAGTTAAATGATTGAGAAGTCCAAATTTGTTGCCATCTGATCTTGAGCAGCTTTCTCTATGAAGGTTATAATGTCACTGTTTGGAATGGACTTGGATGATGAAGCGAAAAAGAGATCAAAATTAAATAACTTGTTTTTCTGTGAGAGTTAGGGTTATGGAACATGGGTTTCTCAACACTTGTAGAATGTTGATCCTTTTCCTCTTATGTAAGATATGTTGGTCCAATTTGTCAATATGCTTTCTCTGAAATGTATTTGAAACTGAGGTTACTTGCATGGAAAGCTTGATTAAAATCATTTACAGACATGGTCTTATAAAGAATTGAGAAAAAAAAAAGACCATACCAACCAACCTGAGTGAGAAATTAACAAGATTGTCAAGAGAGCAGAATCTGAAAACTAACTAACTCTACTACATAATGGAAGTAACCCACCACAACTATATGATTTATCCAAGGTACATAAACCTGATGTTCCTCTTAGACCCAATGCCATAGACTCATCTTACTATAACACAGCCAGATTCCTTGGGAAACTTCTTAACCCCTTAACTGCTAATTCTCCAGCCACAATCAAGAATGTAAACATATTTGTAGAAATCTCTAAAACCATCCCCATTCAACCCTCAGATGTTTTAGTCAGCTTTGCTATCACTAATGTTTCCCAGCATTCCCATCAGCCTTGCCCTTGGTCCACAAAAGATTAACAGCAGGTAGGTCCCTACATTTCTGCACAAATCTCAATGTAGACAGGCTGTTATAGCTTCTGAGTTCTGCACTACTCCACCTACTTTCAGTTTCAAAATAAATTTTAAGAACAAACAAACCATTGGCCTTCATTTGGGATCACCTCTATTACCTGCTCTCAGTAACATTTTCATGAAATATTTTGAAGCCAGAGTCCAACAGACAAGTATCTTTAAAAATAAGGTTTGGAGATATTATATTGACAAAATTTATTATTTGGTCTCATGGATATGATTATCATCTATAAGCCTGAACATACAGTTCACCATGCAGTTAGAAGAAAATAAGATCCTTCCATTTCATGAAATACTTGTTCACTGACATAACGACCATCTTACCACTGCTATTTACAGGAAACCAACCCACACTAACATATACCTACACTACAGGTCCAACCACTTAAAAGATGTTAAACACAGAATTATATCAAACAAGTTTCACAGAGCCAGAAGGATTTGTGAAAAAGATCATGTTGAAAAAAAAACAACCCTTCTAAAAAAAAAGTTTGCAGAAACAACAGATACTGTTCCAGTTGAATGTGTACTATCAAGAAGAACACTATTCACAAGACCAAGTCCAAATAAATTAATCATGTGTCTACTTTACATTCCCAAGTTAAGCAAAAAATGTAAAACAAATTTGCTATAAATTTAATGTTCAACTTTATTTTAAACCAGAAAAAATATCTTTGAAACTTCTTTACTAAAGTGAAACAAGCAACCAACAAGTATAAATGAGAAATAACATCTATGAAGCATCCATGTTTGTACAGCAACATTTACAATGGAGAAACTGGTTGGACTATAAAATTAAAAGGACATAAAAACATAACTAGACTAACACATCCACATAAATCAGCTTTGGTTGAAAATAACTATAAAAAAGTAAATATAATACACTGGGATCAACACAGAATTTTAGACAAAGCTCACCACTAGAAATAAAATTAAAAGAAGCTATTTGCATCCAACTACACCAACCTGAACTCAACAGAGACAATGGTTTGAGCATCAGTGATCTAAGGACAACCACCCTCAACAGACTCTTCAAATAATATGATGATGTCACAGTCATACTATATACACCTACCAATCACCACACTTGCTCAACCTACACAGTTTGGAGATTTACTACATGACTGTGCTTATCTTTATAAGACACTACACAACAACCTACTGTGGCCTGAAGGAATTCTCAATACAGAAACCAAAACATCATCTTTTCATACAACAGGCAGTTGTAGTTTATTAAAGTTCTAAAAGCTACTATGTCTATTCTGCCTAAAAATTCCACTGAAACTACATAAAGATTTACAAAGAAAGTTCTTAAACCTCTAACATCTTGGGTGTACGTGTACTCTGATTACGATGGATATCCAAATGTTCTGATCTTGTTTTACAAGTACTCTATTTAAGTATCTTACCATTATGAGTCATTAATCTCAAAACATTAAAAGTGCTTGCCAAAATATCTTTCTATGCCTCCTTGTTTCATCGACAGAAAATTAGAGGAGCCAAAACATATGTCAGTGAATAAATATTTCAAGAAATGGAATGGTCTTATTTTCTTCATGGTGAATTGTATATTGGGTTTTATAAAATTCAGATGGTGGAGGAAATATTCAAGATAATAATGAATAAGATCAACTAACAAATGTGTCATCAACATAATGTCTCTAGTTCTTCAAAATACTTTCTCCATTTTAAACTTTTCAACAATATTTACATACATTTCATTATTTAAAATCCTTTACTGTAATTAAAGAAGTTCATAAAGCATGTATAATGATAGCCATTTGTATATCTATAGAAAAATCAACATATTTCACTTTCATTTTGAGAAAGCTATTGACAAAAATACCTAATTTCTAAAAGTGCTTACCAAAATATCTTTCCATGTCTTTTTGTTTGCTTTATATACAGAAAAATAGAGGGATCAAAACATATGTTGTCCTTACCCCCATAACATAAAAGGTTGATGAGTAATGCAGCCAAGCCCATGTTTGAAGTGTTGCTCTTAAATATTACTTTCATCTTTGTTCATATCAAGTGATTTTGTTTATGAAGTAAAGACAGAAAAATAAACTTCACTTGTATAGTGTGTTACACAAGGGATGGAGAAATACAATCAACCTGTTGAACTATATCATTTGAAAATAATCCCAATACATAACATTATGTGGTACACAAACTTTACACAATACAAGGTATATCTCTTAATATATAATTATAATACATTTTCACTAGGTCACTTTTAAGACAGGATAATGATTATGAAGAAATCTACAAGCTAAATAAATCAGTTTTGAATTAGAATTAGGAAAGGTTTACCAAATATTATTTCTCATGGGTAAAAAAAGAAAAGCAACTACTGACATTCATCTGTATAATGCTACTGTTTATTAAGATGTAACTTATATTAATACACAGCAATATTCTGTTATACTAATTGTTAACATGTAAACATCAACCATTAATGATAATGCTGTTATTACAGAACCCTTCATTTTTGTCTACAAAATTTACACAAATACGTTCTTAAAAATATAGAAGGCTAAAGTAAGATATTCTATTATAAATACATATATTAGGTAAATTTTACTGTGTCACAGGAATTGTGATTGAATGTGCTTAGCTGCAATAAAATCACTATGTTTAAAACAATCTTTGGAAGTTTCATATCATGTACACTTAACAAACATATAAAGACAATTTTTATATTATAAAAATAAAATTCAAAAGTAAGCATTTCTAAAATATTAACAGTTAAAGTAAAACTGAAAGGCACATGTTTGTTACACTTACTTAAAATGCTCATTAAAAAAATGTAGATAATATATGAAAAACTCCTTGTTAGAAAGTACATTAATTTGTTCTTACCAAAAAAAACAACAAAAAAATTTATAATTAATATTGTAGAATATTTTACATTAAATCAGTAAAATCTTATTTGATTGAAGACATTTGGCTAATACAATAGTTGTAGAAAAGCTCAGTGAAACTTGTGACTACTAAAAAAAAGAAGAAGCAAAACTTTGTTTCTCACCAAAAGTTATTATTTAAATCTAAAACAAAATTGGTTTGCTTTGATGAAAAACATACTGTGAAATTTTGATTCCATATGAATCACTAAGAAAATTATCAGTAAAAAAAAAAAACTGCCCTGAGGCCTAAGCATATACATTATTTGCCTACATGGCAATGCTATACATTATTTTATTAAATACATACAAATGCATTCAACATAACATCAAAATAACATTAATAATTTTTCTGCAGCTCATGAGATACATAAGCATCTCAAAATCACAGATACAATATTAAATTGTTAACACTTGTAACAGATACATGTGCTTTCATTTTCTCGTTTCTTTCAATAAAAAAAAAATTTTAAACAATTCATACATATATCTATGTGTGTTTAATTCTCAAGATTTAATAAGCACTGGACCAATTTTCTCCTTACTTCAAAGTCAAATTACTTTATTCTTAAGACTTTACTAGTGATATTTTACAGTAATATTTACCAAACTGTGCTGCAAAACTTTTCACCAAAAATTTACATACACTTCATTATTTCAAATCCTTTACTGTCATTAAAGAAGTTCCTAAAGCATGTATAATGTTACCCATTGTATATCTACAGAAAAATCAGTGTGTTTCATTTTCACTTGGAGAAAGCTATTTACAAAAATACCTAATTTCTAAAAATTGTTTAGCTCCTATTAATTAAACAACTCAATTGTTATACTGCCTGTAGAAAGAAAATGTTTCAAACATTTTTTTTTTCATAAATATACAATTTCAATTTCACATGAATCAACATTGCAAATCACACATAGCAATTTTCATAAATGTTTTTGAAACACAACTTACATTTGTTTTCTAAGAATTACTACCTTTACATGGTTCAGTTGCATTATGTCTGGTTTTACGAATACAATCATCTATAATAACAGTAGGCTTTGCTGAATTTAGGAGAGCTGCAGTTTTATCAAAGTCAATAGTTGCGTAGCCTTCTGGATGGTCAGAAGGAGAACTTTGAGGTGACTTGATACTGTTAGGTGGTGACTTTGGAGTAGATATACTACAGCCTGAATCACTCCTCTGTTCAAGATCTAGCATGATGTAATTAACCTGTCTCCCATCTGTTTGACATGACTTCACACAGTTCTGTCCAATATTTTCATATAATCGTGAATTATCTTCTTGTGAAATTTGACTAGCAATGGACCCACCAGTGAATCCTCTTGGGTAAACACTAGAAGAGAAGCCATATCCACTAGTTCTAACATGCTGTCTTTGTGCCACAGGTATCTGCTCAGGACCCACATTGACATAGCAGTGTTCATTTTCATACGCAGCTGTATGTTCTTGTTTGCAAAGCTCTTCTAATTGAGTGTAATTAGTATTCATATCAATATGCTTGCATGAGCAAGGATTATTGTTACATTCTTTATTGACACATGTACCACCAGTACAACTTAAGGATGTCACAGTTCCATTCATATGTGAATGTTGAGTATGAAGAGCTAAGGATCTTGAAGATCTTTGATAACTGTCATGGACAACAGAGTATTCACTCTTAACTAAAGATCGAGTTACCAACCCTGAAAAAGAAGACCTAGAAGGATGAGTGTCAGGTACAAATATTTCTCCATTTGCATAATGAGGAGATGGTGCTGAATATCTTTTGCATGAACCAACACTACAGTGATGACTGGGACATATCAAATTAGCAATGTTTGTTCCAGCAGACCAGTTTTCTGACAAAGACTGTCTTAGTAAGCATTTAGTTTGATTGCTACTTTTAGTAAAAGAGTTTGAGTGATCATAAGATCTTGAACAAGATGGTATTAGTGATGATGAAGAAGGAACAGCAGAACTTCTAACATGATCCACCTCAATACTACTAACAGGGGGAAGTTGCTGACTAGATATGCTACCATTTGTAGAAGCATTGGTTCCTCCACTGACCTGGTCTTCAGCTTGTTCTACAACAGTGTTGTTCTGAATGGATTCTTGAAGAAGGTTAAACAAAACTTCTGCATGGCGACATCTGAAGGCATAGATACCAGGTCCTGTAGGGCATCTACGACCACACTCAAAAGAGAACAATTCCACATCAAATCCATACTTTCTCAGACTTCTCAAAGGCCATCTTATTGGAAGCTTTCCTTTTTGATGCAAGATTAATTCTGACTGAGTTAGTTCAATTTTTCCTGAAGCTAAATGGTTTCCTCTGTCATCTACATTCCACACCTAAATATATAAAACAAAACAAAAAAACAATGAAATAATTGCCTTTATAGCATACTCCTCAGAAAATTACTTTTCCTACAATTCAAATTAAAATTCTAGCCCTTTTGTTTAACTTTGGAAATATATTTTTATACATGTTGACTGAAGTATAAATTTAAATTTTTATATGTAAATTTTCATTACAAAGTCCTTTCAAGTTTGGCAACAGATCAGCTATATATATATATATATATATCTTCCGTTTAGTAAGGTGATAAAATTTAACAACTTCAAAAGAAACAGAGTGCTTCATCCTCATATTTTATTGTCTGGTGAACTAATCTGATCTACAATACATTCCTAGCATAAAGCTTGCAAGTGCAGCTTACACCCTTTCTCTACCAAAGGTGTTCATGTTGAACAAATAATGAATAAATGCAGTTTACTTTATAATATAATTATTTTGATATTTTAAAATATTTCACATTAAAAACTTAGTAATGTACAAATGCTTAAATGAGCAAAGATAAATACTAAACTCACAAATGGAATATAACCAAGTAAAATAAAAAGAAGTTTCAATTATATAAACTGTATGTAATTACAGGTAAAATCTTTCATACTTTTAACAGCTTCTAAATTAAAAATCATAAAAAATAATGAAATTCATACAACCTGTATGGTTGCAAGTAGAATGAATTATTTCCCCTAAAGGGGGCCAAAGGCTGCCTGGAGGGGTCACTTGTTTTAACCATTTGTGTCACTATACAGTAGTGTGTTGTCTGTCAGTCACTCAATAGACACTAACATGATGTCTCATAAGTTGCAATTTGTACTGTCGTGACATCAGTAAACATGCGCTTGCCATGAATCACAGGAAGAATTATGCACTCTGTAGGCTACAACACAGCATGACATATGAACTTCAAAAGCATAAAATAAAAATATTTGTTACTTTTAATTTTGGTTTTATTTATTTTTGAAACATAAAAACTTCAGGGACCCTGCTGACATACACCTAGTAAATGTTATATTTCCATCTCTGCAAAGACAATACCTTTCTTTTGGTATATTATAAAGCTAATGAGTAAATGTTTCATAAATATGAGAGATTTATTAGACATATTCATAAATCTTAATTATTACCAAAACATTTACAATAAATACTGTTAATTAATGTGAAAGTTCAGTAAGAGTTGCTTTTGTTTTTTTTTATTCAACTTAATCCGATTAACTTGAGACACTTAAATAAAACATCTTGAAAAACCAATGATATGAATAATATATATATATATATATTCAAAGTTTTCATGAGAAGGTAATTTCGGTAATGTAATTTTAGCTAAAATAAATTAGATGCATAAAGATTTAGGACTTCACCTTAAGCTATCCTGATAGCCTTGGAGAAGTAAGAAATGCATTTGGACCAGCAGCCAGTGTGATACATTAAAGGCTTAATATCGAGTATCTGTTTTATTTCTGATTTTTTGATACTCATCCATTTGATTTGTTGTTTCCGCACATCAAAACAGTGATATTAATTTCTAAAACTCAGCATGTTCCATGTTTGTTTCCAAAATCAGAAAATGATTTTATAGGTATATTTGTAGCTGATAAGTATAAAAAAAAAGTAGCGTGCAAATATCATAATTTATGTTTATAAATATATGATCAGGTTAGGGTATCAACTGTCTAAATTAAAATATTTTATTTGTCTTTATTGTTCCGAATCACTAGTCATTCGATTGTGAGTAAACTAACAGATTTGTTAGTTTATATATCAATATAAATATGACATAAAATTTAAAATTTCAATCTTCAACTTACTTTCCAACTACCAGAACAACAGCAACTTTATCTCTACTTTTCATTGTGACCATTATACATTTAATGTTTTTTAAAGATGTGTCAGCTCTCAATTTTTAAAGGGCTTTTGTATTACACGGTGGTCTACAATTATAACACCATCTAACTTGTACCAAAGAGTTCAAACATATAATAAAGACAGTTTTATTTTACCAAGATCCACAGAATCAATAATAGTCTTGGGTTTCACAATACGATCAAGTTAGTTTTTGAAATTAAACATACAAATCTTACTTTTTTGTATTAGCTACTGACTTATACATATTATGAACCATGATGTCTGTCCGAGCATTTGTATGTCTCCCATTTGAAAAGCTGCACATGCAGGCAAAGCTCAACATTCACTTTTTGAAATAACGGGATAACAGCCATGAATAATGTTAATGCCAAATTTTATTCCACAAGCAGGATATTCGACACTAAATTGATAGAAAATAATCACACTATCATTCACATTTCAAAATGTGATGTAACTTAAATAACAAAAATGTAGATTTACCGTATGTTATTGTTGAGTGGCTCTTAGCATGACTGAAATGCTCAACAATTTCTTGTAGCAGTGGGCGTTATAAGTAGCTCAGAGCTTTAGCTCTGAATGAAACCAGGAGTACAACACAATTAACCTTTTGATGTCCATGAAACAATTTAAATTGATAGATTAACTTAAACTTTTCCAGTCACTGGGGATGGGAACTTTTGCTTGTTATTTATAAGTTGCAAGCCAGAATGGACTAGTGGTCTAGAAAATTAATGTAGAGCCCTACATGAGAAATCCCTCTATATCCCATGTACAAGCCTTGCTTTAGTTAAATAGAAAATATTCAACAACTGGTAACTGTTGAGGTAACTAACCAGTAGAACAGCAAAATTTTCTTGATCACGAGCATGTCCAAGAGTAAAAACATGCAGCAGTTAACATAATTAATGTTATAAAGATTTAAATTTTATTTTCAAATATTTAACTTTTTTTCTTTTACTTGCAAGATTGCAATATCATAAACATGCATTTTGTTTCTATTTTCTATGAATGTTTCTTGTGCCACTAATAAATTTAGCATCTTGTAAGTCCTGTATATGTGTTTTCATAATTATTTCCATTCCAACAGTTGTCAAAAAAAAAGGTCTTCAGAGATTATTCATATTCTAAACAGAAAAAAAAGTAGAAGTAAAACCAGAGGCAAACATATAACCAAGAAATTGAGAAATAATGAAAGAAATAGTTAAGAATGTAGACCAAAAACAAGAAAAATGTAAGGCATTGAATAAAAAAATGTTAACAGTAAAAATGGATAAAATTATAATTTTCAAACTTATTAGATATATACGCACACACATATCTATCTATATATATATATATATATATATATATATATATATAT